ATTTAGACTCAAGGGAGGAAGTCTAACGAAGAGATGAAAGTTCCAGAACGTGTTTAAAGGATGAGCAGAGAGAAGTAGGTGGCCAAAGGTCCTCTGGGCACAGTGCCCACTGGTTGGGCTGCTCATCTGCTTTTGAAGGTGACCTTGTAATGTAGTAACATAGTCAGTGAGCATCCTGCAAGCAGGTTCAAGAGTTCAATGTGCCTTCCTTTGGAAAAAGTGAGAAGGGAGAAAGTCAGGGCCTACATCTTCCTGGAGGCATCCAGATGTCCAGATGCCTACAGTGAAGAAAGACTACATTTGATTTCAGCAAACAAGTTGTTGTCCAGTATGGTTTCTGGATTGATGAAGCAGTCCTCAGTGTCTGGGAGAAATTACATGGAGGACAAATATTATGGATTTATGCCTCAAAATTGTGGGTTATGAAAATAGCAGCCTGTAATTTCTTCCCTGTAATTTTCCTCCTTGTTTATGGTGCTTAAACAATGGGTCCTGAGCTAGCAGTTCATTCTCAGCTTCTGTGGTTTTGGAGGTATTTGTCTTTATCCCACTGCCCCCTCTTTCCAGGAATGTCTCCAGAACTGGGGAGCAAATGCCCTGAGGCAGGGACTTCTTTTTCATTTTCCACTTATGTGGTGTCCCTTAAATAGGTAGTGCAGGAAAGGCTCTTAGAGCCTAACTGGGACAAAACTGCCATGCAACAGATGAGAAGGTGGAAACCCAGCAGGGCCAACTGGCTTGCTGACCAATTCCACATCACCTGTCTCTGAGCTCAGTACTCTCTCCACTGTACCACAGAGTCCCAGTCACAAGTCAGGTTCTGCTAACCACAGCTATGCACCAACATTTGCAAATGATCAGTATGGGTGTGAATAAATGTAAAATTAGGGAACATATGCTGAAGTTGAAGTTCCAATACTTTAGCCATCTGATGCAAAGAGCCGACTCACTGGAAAAGACAATGATGCTGGGAAAGATTGAGGGCAGGAGGAGAAGGTGGCGACAGAGGATGAGAAGGTTGGATGGCATCACTGACTCAATGGACATGAGTTTGAGCAAACCCTGGGAGACTGTGAAGGGCAGGAAGCCTGGAGTGCTGCAGTCCACGGGGTCACAGAGTCAGACATGACTGAGCAACAAAAGGGAACATACGTGTTTTTAGAGCAGAATACTACCTTCATCACTACAGTTGAGTCTATAAAAATAACTGTGGAGCAATATGTAACAGTACAGTGTCATTTCTGCTCTTGCATCATCACAAAAGTAGCAGCCTGGCTGTGCTTCTGTGTGACTGTGCCTACGGGTATCTCTGTGCGTGCTCTCACACACAGAGAACAGGTCCATGGTGGGCCCACCAACCGTTCACAGAGGATTCTCCCTGTGGGTGGGAGGCTTTCATTCTTTTACTCATTATATTTTGGTATTGCTACATGTTTTACAATGAGTATGCATTGCTTTTGCAATTAAAAAACCACAAGCAAAAAAAAAAAAACCACAAGCAAGAAAAAAATAATAGCTGCCACCTACAAAATATACAGAGTACAAGTCAGGCACTATGCTGGCCCCCTGACAGGTGCCATCTCATCTTGTGCTCCCCGTGGCTCCAAGTGTGGAACTCAGATATATTATAGTCCAGGTAAGGAAACTGAGGCTTGAAGGACATACAGTTAGTAAGTGGCAGGGTCAGGATCCAACAAGGAAGCCACATTCAGATTATCCTTGTGATGTCACTCTTTCCCACCTGCAATCAATAGGGGAAAGGGTGTGTATCCCCCATGGGAATGTCAGCCGTTTATCCCGAGCTGCCTCACAGTGGAAGAAGGCTGCCGCCGGCCATGCTAAGGAACTAAGGCAGCTTGGGGTGTCTGCTGCCTGAGCTGAACACCCATTTGCTATGCCCTCGCTCCTGGCCCAAGCCCCACACTCCTGCATCCTCACCATTGTTGGCAATCTCTCCACGTGTGAATTCCACTAAAGGCTGGCTCACTGCTATTTTTGGGCCACGCATTAGCACTTGGGCTTTGATTAAATGAGAGAAGGCCAGACACCTCAGGATGATGAGAAAGAAATGAGAAATGTCCTCTCTCTGCCCTTACAGTTCCAGGAGTCCTTGTCTACCGCTCCTGGGAGGCCTGAGAATCTAACATGGGGGGGAATGTGGTTGGGGGTGGGCAGAGGGAATGGAAACCTTCATAGTCTAGTAGTGTTTTTGAACTCAGTGGCTGTTCCTGCTCCTTGGAACTGTCATCTCCCTGCTGTTCATGTGGCTCACTTCCTCATATCCTTCAGGTTTGGACTCAAATATCAATTCACCACCAAGGTTGGCTCTGGCTGCCATTCCAAACAGCACCTCCCTCCCTCTTTGGAGACCTAATGCTTCTTTGTTTCCTCCATAGCAGTAGTCATCATTTGCTTGTTTATTTACTGCTCACCCCTACTGGACTACAAGCTCCAAGAAGGCAGAACTATTTTATCCACAGCTGGATCTGCACTGCCTGCACTGGTGCCTAGAGTACATGTATCTGAGATGGGAAAGATGAATGAATCAATTGAGGATATTAAGAATCAGAGCATGAGGATCCCTTAGCACAGGGCCTAGTTTCCCCTCAAATATCATAGGATGATAAAAAGCTTACCATTTTTTTTAATAAAGTTTGAAAATCAGAAAAGCAGCACCTCGTCCAAGCCCCTCCCCACCCCGCAAGCTGTTTTGAATCCAGGCTCACACGCACCATGAATGAAAAGGCTTTGGGAAGTAAACACACCGGGAAGTCGTGTGCAGTTGGAGTTCCGCTTGCTAACACATGTTCAAAAACAAAAAGCCCAGTTTAGATGAAAATAGCAGGAAGCCGTCCCTAGGGATACCTGGTGAGGTCATATTGCTTGGCTCTGCTGCTTCCATTTTTGTCAGATCTCCTGCCTTCTGCCAATTGGAGGAGGCCAGGAACCATATCCAGCCCACTGCTGGTCACTGGGAAACAAGAGAGCTGCTCCTGGCAGCAGACAACTGAACCACATTTCCGGGCTCTCCTCTGGAACCTCAGAATGGGACAGTAAAAAAAAAAAAAAAAAATCACAATAGCAGTCAATTATTTACCGTGTGCTCTGTAAGCACTTTGCATATGTCACTGCATTGAGCCCTCATAGCCACGCTTATGAGGCAGGTGTTACTATCCTCATTTTATAAGTAAGGACACAGAGACTCCAAAAGACCCAGCAATGTGTCCCCAGGTTAATCAGCTAGTAAGTTGAATCTGGGTTTTTGTGACACAAATGATCCTCATCTCATCTCTCTCATTTACTTGCTGTGTAGCCTTAGACAAGTTCCTTTCCTTCTCTGAGCTGGTTTCTGCTTCCACGCATAAGGCTGCCGCACTGAGTGTTTTCCAAGGCATCTTTGTGCCCTAACTTCCTATGACCTCTTGTAAAGATTACAAAATATGAGGGAAGGATGAGTCCCGGGATCCTTGCCTGGCCAATCCAACTCCCAATAGCTTGTCCATGCCACCAACCCCATCACATGGGCAGCCCAGAGGAAGCTGAGGAGTCAGGTACTCTAAATGGAGGCAGATGGAGGTAGCAATAGAAAACCTTTAGTCTAGAGCTGGAGGGCTGGGACTGTAAGAAACTGAAAGAGACCCTGAGAGAGACTAAGAACACACCCTCTGAGGGGCTTCCCTGCAAGACCAGAGGAAGATAGTGCAAGGAGAAATCCCAGGCGGACAGGGCCCACACTCTTGCAGACACAGCCAGCCAGGTCTACTCCAGGGAAATGGAACAGAAAGAACACATCCCTGGGCCGGTTTCACCTCAGGAGGAAGGCACCAGGAAAGGACTGCTTTCACTACAAGGAGGAGAGCAACAAAAATGACTGTGATGCCCACTTTTCTGGCTTCCTAAAGGCCACCGCGTCCTGGAGGCAGAGGAAAGACATGGATGAGCACTGCACACACTGCTTAAGTCATGCTTATAATGCACTTCCAACACCACTCATCCTCCTCCGCAAGTGTCCAAAAGGCCCAAATTTGGAATAATTTATATTCTTGCTTTCCACCCAAGCTGAGCAGTCATTCCCATCCTTCTGGATATGGGAAGGTCCCTATCTATCCCTTTCTTGGCAGTGATGTGTGTGATTACTCATCTGCTTCCAGGGGACTCCACGGGCTGCCAAGAGGAGAGAGGCAGTTCTCTGAGCCATGCAGCCTTATCTGCAAGGTCTGTGTGGCAGAATATAAGCAGGACTGTTGATGGGGAGACAGCAGAAGCCTTCAGAGGGCCCTGGCCAAGTAAGGAAAGCTCTCCAGTGCCCAAAACAGACTGGGATTGGCCAAAGACTGGGCAACACGCAGCCGTGCCTTACGTCTATTTACCTGCTCGATAACATCAATCAAGATACAACTGTGCTTGACGGCAAATCAATGTGGAAATGTTTCTGAGCGAGGCAGCCACCCAAGAGAAATGAGGTTGGGGATATGGAAGAACCAGGCCGATGAAGCCAGGAGACTGCTGACTATGCCCTTATTGGCAGAAGCTCAGATGTAGCTGACCCAGAAGAGACGGAGCAGTCAGGGTGTGAGTGTCAAATCCCAAAACACCCCACCTCGCCGCTCTCCTCTCTGCTGCTTTCCTCTAATCTCCTTCACTTCCTGCCATGCGCTGTGCTGGAGCGAGTAAGACAGCTGCCCAAGTCCTCCAGCCCATCCCTTCCTTAGTGTCTTTCTGTCTCTCTCTCTCACACATACACAGTGAACCCTAAGAGGCCCCAGAAATTTCCCCAGCTTGAGGAAATTCAAGGAAGATGGTAAACAGTCCAGTAATTTCACAGCAAGTCTAGAGATTGTGGAAATGCAGGCTTTGCAAGAATGCTCCCAGTAAATGAACCACAGGTTGACAGCCTGGGTCACTTCATTAACTACTTCCTTCCAAGTCAGTGGCACCTGCGTCCGGCGCTGACACACAAGTGGGTTGTCTCATTTTAGACAAAGGAGAAGTCCACTTACTCATTCTTCTCCAGGTCCAGGATCAGCTCTCGCCCCTCAGCCATCACCCTGAGCTCCGCTTTGAGTGGATGCTAAAAGAAACAACAAAAGAATGTCAGTTCCGAAAAGCAGGGGCCGAGGCTCCCAGGGAGAGGCAGAGGGTCCAGCACAAAGCTGACATGGATGGAGCCACAGGAAGTGAATGAGAAAGGGTCAGCCGCATTTGCAGCCCAAATATGAAATAACTTCAGTCCCAGAAGGACCCATTTCTCCTCCCCCATCTGCCTTCTCCTCAAAGACAAAGGAAAGAAACTCCAAGCTGAAATGTGGTGTAAGTGCCTGCATGCAGGCCTGGTAAAGGCAAACCCTAAAAAACACGATCCTGGAGAGCAAATTTGAGTGGAGTCAGATCTAGGACCAAGTGTAGGCTTCAACGCTACAGCCGTGGAATCAGGCATGTTACTGAACCTCCCTACAGCTCAGCTTCATTTGTAAAATAGAAGTAATAGTCAACTTTGTGGGGATAGTGTAAGGACTAAGTGACAAAGTAAACGTAAAGAATTTGTTACAGTGCTTGGCACACCAGAAGCCCCTGTTACATGTTGGCTGCTACTTAAGATACCAGGGAAAGCCTCTTCATCATGGACTCTTATTTTACAGTGGCTCTCAGTTTGGATACCCCTCAATCATCTCAGAGGAGACAACTGGAAGAACCTCCAAGTAAGGTTTTAAAGGTCCAAAATATAACATTTTACACAAAAAATTTACTAAGAGCCAAAGTAGCTAGATACCCAGAATAGACCATTTAAGGTATCATACAAATGGTCAATAAGCATTAAAAACATGTTCAGCATCACTGGTAACTGCCCCCCCACCCAAAAGTATTTTTTAAAGATATCTTTTAAAAAATCAAAGCAACAAAGATTTAAAAAAAACCAAACAAACCATAAATCACAATGCAGCAGAGTATACTATAGAATGGGCACTCTCATACCCTATCTATGAGAATTTAAATTGATACCTGCTCACCAGAAAATAATCTGACAGTATGAACCAAGAGTTTAAAAATGTTTAGACCCTCAAACCCTATAGAAGATTCTATCTGAAGGGAACAAATGGAAACACAGGCAATGGTTTATACACAAGGATGCTCATTACTTACAATTATAACTAATGAAACAGAATCCAAATAATCCCAATGTAGGAGAATGGTTAAATAACCAATAATCTATTCATATGACAAAACATTAGACAGCCATTCAAAATGATGGCTTTCAATCATTTTTAAATTATCAAGAAAGTACACATGATAATGATTAAGCACAAAGGTTTAAAACATAACACTGTGTGCTTTATTCATACATATTTTTATAAAGGGACAAAAGTAGAAATAAATCAAAAGGTTACCATAGTTACTTCTCATTAGTGAGATCATCTGTTGCTATTTAGTCGCTCAGTCGTGTCCTACTCTTCCGCAACCCCATGGACTGTAGCCCACGAGACTCCTTTGTCCAGAGGATTTTCCAGGCAAGAATACTGGAGTGGGTTGACATTTCCTTCTCCAAGGGATCTTCCTGACCAAGGGATTGAACCTGCATCTCCTGCAGGTTGGGTTCTTTACCACTGACCCATCAGGGAAGCTCAGTGAGATAATTCAATTTAATTTTATTTTTTGCACTTTCCCACATTTTTATAATGGCCTTTTATATTTTCGGAAATGGACTTTTAATCCCCTTTTATCTAATTATTGTGGAAAATTTCAAAGACATTAGAAATCCAAGTCATCATAAACTTTCATGCTTTAACAAAAGTTCAATTTAGCACAGCTGAACTTTTTGGAGGCAGAAATTATTTAATTAAACAGGGTATTTACATATTTAAACATTTTTAAAAGGATTGATTCTTTGGGTGTTTTAGATGTACGTGCTCCAACTTGGGACCAAGGAACTGATAAACTCGTGAAGTCTCTTTCAATTCACATGAAGCTCTTGCTAGAGGAAAGCTTCTATCCCTTTTAAGGTTAGCCTCAAAACTTAGTTTTGGCATGTATGAGCAAGTGCATCACCTGCTTTGCCACCTCTGGTTGGGGGCCTCCCTCTTCCAAGCACATTTCTCTGATCAGCTTCAAACCCCATTTCCCATTAGGGTCCTGGGCATCCCTGAGGCTTTTGTGCCACTGAGGGCTCTGATGTGGTCCAAACATTGTGATCTCGGATGCTTGTGCAACCCTGTCCTTTGCTTTGTTTTGCAAATTTATCCTACTCACTTCTCTTAAGGGACATGTCAAAAACACGAGAAGAGGAAGCGACAGGGATGTTTACGCAAAAACTTGCACTAAGAAATTCACTTCTCTATTTTCTGATGCTCAGATTCGGCTCTACCCATACCTATTTCTGGTTTGTTGCTTCACTCTGGGGAGTGGAGCAAGGGCCCTGTCCCATCACATTAAGCATCAGGGACACAGTCCAAAGTGGGCACTTGAGGAAACACACACAGCAATAGAGCTGTATCTATTCCCTTATCCAAGAGAAAGGTGGCCTAGAGTCCACACGCAAAGAAGGAAAGTTGACACAAATCAAACCACTGTCACCTCTCCAGAGAGACACAAGCTACAGCCTGAGTATGAATATTTAAGTGGGTAATCCAAAACTATTGCTCTCTAGTCTGGAAGATGATATCAGACACTGATATTTAATATATGATGTTCCTTGTTTCCAGGAGATGTTACAAGCAAAACAATGAAACAGCACTACAAAGATTCATGTAGCTTCCCTGTCCCAGTTTACTCAGGTTTTTCTCTCGCAACTCCACTCTGTGCTAGGAAGGGGCGACATCACCTTTCCTAGGAAGTGAAGGGAGTTGACCCTCTGTTTATACTTCCCCAGGGCAGGGTTTTAAATGCCTTTCTCTTTTCAGGTAGATTAAATAGATCTTCAAGCTGTACTGGGTATTGGAAATCTATACTACGTGTCTACATCCTCCCTAAGACATAGTACATGTATATTTAGTATGCAGTGTTCAACTAACATTTGCTAAATGAAGTAACTACATGAATGAGAATAAGATGCCTGAGTGAGACCTACCTCTCCTCTCCCTCTCTGACATTCATTCATTTACTCAACAAATATTTACAGTGCCAGGCTAGTCCTACAAAGGACAATGTCCTGGGCAGATTCTAGGCAGACAATGGCTGGGAACAAAGACAGGATCTGAGCTTCACTGTGTTTCTCAGGCCCTTCCTGAGGATGCCGGGCATCCCACATCTGGAGAGAACAGAGAGGCATCTATAAAAGTATCAGATCCATTCCTCGGACAATAATGGATAGGCTGGGATATCCAAGATCTTAATTTTTAAAAATAGCCTGCCCTAGGATGTCCATCCATTAATTTGTCTAGACTTTTCCTGGAGCTATTTTCAGTCTCTCCTAGTTTTGGATGAAATGAACTCCATGCATTTATTATCTTTAGGATAAAATATTATTTGCTTTCATTTGTCCTAATATTTTTGCTGTAAGTTTCCTCCAAATTGGAGCACTTTTTTGGACATGTCTGCATTCCTCCAGCCATAATTTCATGGATTCTGGGCATTTCTACTCTCCATTTACCTTTCCAGACTCAAGGACTTCAAAGTCTGAAATCTTTCCTGACACCGCTCTCTCCTCTCTCTCCTACTATAATCTTGCTGTTATATGTTGCCCAATAAATCACTGACCATTTGAACCCAAAGCACTCTTATTAAGCACCCCTCCTCTCCAGCCCTCTTCCTTCTTATCCCCTCTAAGCCCTATTTTTTAAATGAGGAAATAGGGCTCAGAAAGTGAAAGGTCCGATAGCTGGTTATTGGCACACAGCAAGCACATCTTCCTTTCTAGTTCTTTCCTGTCTCACTTGAGCTATAAGAACCAGAACCAAAGCCTATCCTAGATGCACAGGTCCTTCCTGCAAGAACAGGATAATGTTTTCTCTTATTCCCAATCTGCTTGATGAGGCCTATGCATTCTGCTGGTGTTGTGGCCCAAGGAGCCTATTGAATTTTAAGATTATTGGATTTTAAGACAGACTTAAGGCAGTACTAGGTCCCTGCGTGTGTCCTCAGTTGCTCGGTTGTGCCCGACTCTTTGCAACCCCATGGACTGAAGCCCCTCCAGGCTCCTCTGTCCATGGGATTTCCCAGGCAAGGATACTGGATACTGGAGTGGGTTACCATTTCCTCCTCCAGGGGATCTTCCCCATCCAGGGATCGAGCCCGAGTCTCCTGCATTGGCAAGTGGATTCTTTACCACTGAATCACCTGGGAAGCCCTACCCTGCCTCTTGTTTTAAAAATAGTTTGGATTATCATTTTTCTCTCCAAGTATATCATCTCATCAGTAAAATGAAGCACATATTATGCAGAGCAAAAAATACTAGTGACAACATTTAATCAATCCCAATTGAGAGTCAGTGATTTTTGTGAAACATACTTGCATTTAGCTTATGTCGGCATTAACATGGATTTTCATTTCCTCAACTACTGGCATCTGGAAGTGTTATAGTAGGTTGTCACACAGTGAAGCAAAGTCCCATCGAGGATTTCCAAAACTGGAGTACACAGAGGACAGAGTGGGCCAGAAACAGAACTAATGGTGACAACCATGGGCACCTCCAGAAAAGTCAAGTAGGTGGCCCCCAAGCCTCACAGAACAGAGTTGTCAGCTTCTGCCTGTGAAAATGAGATGCTTTGAGTCTTACCTTTTCTCTCATGGGGCTTTCTGCAGTCTTCCACTGAGGTATTATCAGTTCATGCTGCAGCTGGGGGCTGCCTTCCCCTCTTCCTCCTGCCAATACAGCAAACACATCACTGGAATCCCAGACCTCTGTACCCTAGCTAAGCCAGGCATGCAGTGCCAACAGAGAAGACTCCACACTGGGGTGTTAGGAGACCTGTCGATTCCAGGCTCTCGGCACTTACTATAGGTCAAGCACTCTGCCAGGTGCTGATAATAAATAGAGTATAGACCTGTGTATACTTCACTGGCTTACTTTCTAGAGATAGGAAGAGGATAACACAAATATTCTCATATGGTACAACAGGGTCATGAAATAAAGAGACACTGAAGAGGGGGTACCTATTTTAGGATGATCATTAAAGATGCATTTAATTGAGACTTGAGGGACTGGAAAGAAGATGCAAAGATCTAGGGGTCTAAGAGTGTCCCAGGGAAAAGGATCAGCAAGAGCAGAAACAGCTTGGCCTGTTTAAGGAATAAGCAGAAGTTAGAAGTAGCTAGAACCGAGCAAATGAGAGGGGAAATTGGCGGATATGGTCAGCAAGACAGATATGGGGTCTGCTATCACAGAGGGCATGGAAAGTATCTGGATTTTATTACAAATCCTGTGACTTCGAAGGCACTGGGGGGTTTAGACACAGAGCAATATGATCTGTATTCGGTCTGCAAAAGATCTGACAACTGGGGGGAGACTGAGAGGGTGGAAGTGCTGTAGGGGCAGGGGTGAAAGTAGAAGCTGGAAGGCAAGGATGGAGCCTTACGGGAGCCCTGGTCAGAGGTGCTGGGAACTCGGACTAGAATGACGTCAGTGGAGAGGAATGAAGTGTTTGGGTTCTGGGTATATCTAAGCCCCTGGGTATTATTCACATTGTGCTTCAGTTTTCTCATCTGTAAAATGATACCCACCTGCCCATCTCACATCATTAATGGAGAGAGTTACTGTGAAAGTGCTTCCCAATCCACAAAAGCATCATTACTTTAACCTGAACTCCCATTTGCATATCATTTCCTACTTTCCAAATAATTCTCACCACCCAGACCTCTGTACTCAACACAACCCTGGGAGATAGGTAACACGATTCCTGTTTTTCAAAAAAGGTGAACTGAAATCTGTTTGCGGACAGACTTGTTCTAGGCAGGGCAGACTCCAGACACTGGTTGCAGACAATCTTAATAAAGTGGTAATTGCTCAAGACCTAAGTAAATTAGTCTCTGGTAAGAATAGGCCACATCCACAGAACTCTTGAGGTCCTAAGTGAAGACTCCAAAAATCTATTCTTTCTAAACCAACCACATGAATCGCATAGAATATAATGAGCTACACAGAAGATGGCCATATTTGTTCTGTTACACTGGCTCAATGATGGGTGATTAACTTCCCTTTCAGATTACTGATATGATGCATTCTCAGTCAAAATATACCCTTAAAAAAGTCATTAGACTAGCATTAGTGTTATCAATTTAGTAAAAATGAGAAGCAATGCATTTATTTACACATTTTCTGAGTGCCTGACTATAGGCCAAACACTATGCTAGATGCCTGATACTGGGGAATCAGAAAGCCAGTTTCTGCTCTAGCGGCTCTGATAAATCTAGATTCTTTGCAACAAAAAGGAATTATGATACTTAATAGAACATTTAAAGGAATGAAATCTTTATGATTGCAAAAATTATGGAAAGCTAGGCTCAGTAATAGAGAAACACAGTACAACTTAAGAAAAATGTTCAAACCTTGGAAATAAAGCAAAAAAGAACAAGTAGGATGTCTTTTCAATGTCACATTTGGAGCATTGGTTAGCAGGCCTTTTCACAGGTTAGTGAATTATCCAGGGAAATGTACCTTTGTTTGCCTTTAATAACTAGTAATTAAAGGCTATACTCTGCGAAGTTTTGTGTTAACTATAACTTTCAGTCTGGTAGAGATGCAAATAACTCCAGCATAGTAGAAAGATACCTAAGAATTATGGTTGTTTGGCCCCATGGAGCACTGACCACTTTTATATCTGCCCCAGCACAGGATTTCAACAGTCTCCAATGCCCGTATCACTCCGTTTTTCTCTAATGCTTTAAACTAGCTTTATCATTCTATTCACTGCCTCTCTGAAGAATCAGATCAATCCTTGCCAATCTTCCATCCTGTATTTGTATGAGAGTCGTGTTTTTAACTTTCTGAAAATTGTACTTCTGCAATTTCTTGGCGGAATTTACAATCATTGAAACCATGTTGTTGGAGAATGTAACGATGTGGAAATGCTCATAAAGTGAAGTGGAATATGCAAGACACAAAACCGTACATATGGTATGGTTCCAATTTTGTCCAAACGTATTTATAGGCACACACACAAAGACTGGAGAAAAGAGGCGAGACTCGGAAAGCAGCGGAAAAGCCAGAAAAACAGAGGAAAAGGAGAGAGAGGAAGGCAAGCCGGGGAGGGATCCACTGTTTTCTGCCTGCTCTGGATCTCCCGCATCTCCACCACCTCCCGGGGCGCACAACGTGGGAACAAAGCCGGGGCTCCCGGGCGGGGGAAACAGCAGGGGCGCGGCTCCGAGTTGCTGCGGGGGATCCCCAGGTCCCCCAGTCCACCCAGGTCCCCCAGTCCACCCACCTACAAAGCCCCCCGTCACCCACCCCCCACCCCCTCCGCTTCGCTACTTACTTCGGGTCCATCCAGGCAGGGCGAGCACCAGCAGGCAGAGCTGGGCGACGCCCACGCCCCGGGGCATGGTGGCAGCTGGCCCCTCGCACAGTCGGCGCTCACCAGCACGCGGCCATGCCAGCCCCCTAACCAGGCCGCCGCGCTTCTGGAATCCACCGCGCTCGCCCAGCAGCTCCCAGCCCGCTCCCAGCCATTGACCGTTCGCTCCGCCCCTCAGCTCCACCGGGGCTGGAGGAGGGGCGGGAGGAGGCTGGGTGGAAGCCAGAGCGACCCCTGAGCCTGGCGGTGGGGCAGGGGCGGGGGAAACTGCCCAGGTGTCGGCGATCGAGGAAGGGAGACTCTGAGCCCGGGGAAGGGTAGGGATTCTTCACGGTGGGCGCTGCCTGAGGAGGGTTGGGGGCTCGAGTTTGTAGGAATTAAACTGGACCCTTCTCTGCACAGCCCATTTTCTCCGTCCCACGCCGGGCTAGACGCCTTGGGTGTCACTCAAGAGGCTGCTCACCCAGCACCGGCCTCCATTCTTGGAGGCAGGCTCCGAAAGAGTTAAGCTGGCACAGATAACTAAGTGCTATACGGAGTTGTTTTCTTAGCACGACACAAATTGAGGATCCTTTCCTTCTGACTGGGAGGGGCAGGGTGGTGAAGAGAGGATTCCCAGAGGAGATGACATCTGAGCTCCGGAGGAGGCGAAATGGAGCAGAAAACCATAGACAGACGGACTAGGGCGGGAAAGCTCATGGGTCGAATTGGGGGGAACCGGCATTTGGGACAGTTAGCATTTAGGGTTTTGAAGGAAATTAGAGGGAGATGAGACTTGAAAATAATAAGAATAATGACTGTCACTTACTGAAGGTTTCTACTAGAAGAAGAAAATAATAACTAAGACCGATACAGCATTTCCTAAGTGCCACCGTTCTCAGCACTTTACATATGTCAACTTATTTAATTAATCTAGGAGAAGAATTACCTTTTATTGCGCTTTAAAATCTTCCAGGGGCTTTGTATACATCATTTCTTTTCATTAGCCCAATAATCCCCTGAAGTAAGTACTAACAGTATTCTGGTTTAGAGATGAGAAACCAAACCTGAGAGGCTAAGTAATTTACTCAAGGTCACACAGCTAAAGTCTGAGGCTGGATTCAAGTCCATATCTGAATAGTTCCAGAGCCTCTTACAGCATATCTTATTTTACAGATGAATAAACTGGGGGTTCCCAAGTTGCTCAGATGGTAAAGAATCTGCCTGCAATGTAGGAGACGGGAATTTGATCCCCGGGTCAAGAAGACCCCCTAGAGAAGGGAATGGCTACCCACTCCAGTATTCTTGCCTGGAGAATTCCATGGACAGAGAAGACTGGTGGGCTACAGTCCATGGGGTTGCAAAGAGTTTGCACGATTGTGCAACTAACACACAAACTGATAATCAGGAAAAAAAATTTCTTGCCTAAGATCCCTGGCAAAGTCTGAGCCTCAGATCTGGTCTCTATTCCTTTCACTCCGTCTCCTTCTTCAAATCCAAGGTTGTACAGCTAAACAAGATGCTGTGTTTTGGGGAGGTATGAGTAGGTATGTCTGTTGAAACCAGTGGGCATAAATAAAATATATTGCTGTTGCCACTGATGCATTTAGAGGCTATGTTAGTCTGTTCACGCTGCCATAACCAAAAACTAAAGACTGAATGACTTGAACAACAGGAGGTTATTTTTTTTTATAGTTTTGGAGATTACGGTGTTGGCTTGGTTGCGTTTCATATGAGGCCTCTCTTACCAGCTTACAGGTGGCTGCCTTCTTGCTGTGGCTTCACATGACCTCTTCTCTACTTGTTTGGAGAAAGCAAGCTCTGCTGTCTTCTGCTTCTTAAGGACACCGATGCCATCAGACAGAGCCCTACCCTTATGATCTCCTTAAATTTTTACTACCTCTTTATAGACTCAATCTCCAAATACAGTCACACAGTATTTGACTGGTGAGGGCTTCAACATATGAATTTGGGGACATAGTTTAGTCCATAACATTCTATTCTGTGGCCCCCAAAATTCATGTCCTTCTCACATGTATCAACTGAAAAAAATGCACAGTATGAGAGTTGTGAGTTAAGTTTTATTTGGGACAAAATGAGGACTATAGCCTGGGAGACAGCATTTCAGGTAGCTCTGAAGAGCTGCTCCGAAGGGCAGGTCAGAATTATATATGATTTTAGGGAAGGGGGGGTGCATGCAATCAAGCACACATTTTGAGAGATGCTTGCTGCTAGTCACGAGGAGCAAATGTCACCGTTAATGATTTTAGTGCTTTTGTAGATATGAGGAGATGCAAGAACCTGAGCTCATAAAATCTTCTCCTAAAAATATCTAACTCTCTCTCTAGAGGCCTGTTCTGCCAGTTTTTCCCAGAGCACAGGTGCCTCATTCTTGATCTCCACCCTTACCTCCTTTCGGGGAGTGTTGAAGGTCAGCTACTGCAGTGGCTACTGACTTGTGTGCATGCATGCTCACTCGTTTCAGTGGTGTCCGACTCTTATCCTCTGGACAGTAGCCTGCTAGGCTCCTCTGTCTATGCAATTCTCCAGGCAAGAATACTGGAGTGGGTTCCTGTGCCCTCCTCTAGGGGATCTTCCTGACCCAGGAATCGAACTTGCATTTCCTGCACTGCAGTCAGATTCATTACCACTGAGCCACAGGGGAAGCCCAACTGGTGACTTATTTCATTCTTATAGAGGGAAATGGCAACTTTTAGTTGACACATGCAAAATACATTTATCCCATCCCAGCAACACCAAAAGATTTGACCCATTCCAGCATCAGTTCCAAGCTCAACATCTCATCTGAATATCATCTAAATCAAGTATGGAGTGACTCAAAGTATGATTCATCCTGAGAAAAAAATTCTTCTCCATCTGTGAAACTGTGAAACCAGACAAGTTATATGCTTCCAAAATACACGTTAAGAGGACTTTCTCATTCCAAAAGAGAGAAAGAAGAAAGGAGTCTCAAGCAAGTCCAAAACCTAGCAAGGCAGATTCCATTAGATTTTTTTTTAATTTAAATTTCTTTATTTTGATTACACTGGGTCTTTGTTGCTGCCTGCAGGCTTTCTCTAGGTGTGGTGAGCAGGGGCTACTCTTTGTTGTGGTGCACAGACTCTAAACCAACAGGCTTCAGTAGGTGCGGCTCACAGGCTCTAGAGCATGGACTCAGTAGTTGTGGCCCAGGTGCTTTGTTGTCTCGAGACATGTGGAATCTTCCCGGACCAGTGATCGAACCCATGTGCCCCTGCATTGGCAGGTGGATTCTTATCCACTGCACCACCAGGGAAGTCCGCACTAGATCTTAAAGCTCTAGACTAACCCTCTAGCAGGATGTTCTGCCTTCCCATCCCACTGGGGCACCAGTGTCACCCCCACAGCCCAAGGCAGTGGCCCTGCCCCCTCTGCTCTGGCAGCAGCCTCACCCTATGCCTTCTCGCTGCCCTTGAGGTACTGAGCAGGGGAGGACTGGCTCCCTGAAACCAAGAGGGTGTCCCATACTCTGAAACCAAGGAAGAAATAGCCTTTGCCCTCTGGGCCTAGATGCTCTATAAATAGTGAGAATGGCAGTCTGATGCTCTCTCAATCACCTTCAGGTTGTTCTCCCATTTTCTTAAAGGACAAAACATATTCACAACCAAAGAGCTGTACTGGCCTGTCCTATGGGTCCCAGCAGTTCAAAAGCCCTCATGTTATCTCTGTTCTCCTTGGTCCAAACTGGCACTGTCTCTGCTAGCATAAGCGCATCTCTATTTCTGGTAGCTGCAGAGATAGCTGATAAATGGCTTGAGTCATCTCCATATAGAGTACTTGTCCAGCCACACCCTTGGTATCCTCTCTAGAACATGTGTTCTTCTTTTTTGCAATGTAGATAGGCTGAGAATTTTCCAAATCTTCAAGTTTTGGTTCCTTGTTGCTTAGAATCCCTTCAGTTTATCTCCCTCCTCCTGTATTTTACTGTGGGCAACAAGGAGAAACCAGGTCACACCTTGAATACTTTTGATCAGGAACCTCCTTAGCCAAATATCCAAGTTCATCACTTGGAATTTCTACTTTTGCTGCTGAAAGCTCAGTTTCTCTGTACATGGGTGCCAAGTCAAGTCTCAGAGACAGAGTTTTGGATGAATGAGAAAAAAAAGCTTTATTGCTTTGCCAGGCAAAGGGGACACAGTCAGCTAATGCCATCAAAACCATGTTTCCCAATTTGGGAAAGATAGTGAGAAGTATTATAATAATTGCTCAAAGAGGGCATGATCAGCTTGTGGACATTCTTCTGATGGGTTAGTAATGAGGTAAGTGGGAGTCAGCCTCAACCTTCAGGTCCAACTAGTCTGGGGTCTATATGCTTGGTGGGCAGCATACCATTAACTTCTCCCACCTGGAGGGGGTTTCAGTATCTGCAGAATAGCTCAAAGATATTGCTGTGTGTATACCTTGATGGGAAACAGGACCTTGCCCCAAGGCTGCTCTTGGCTGTTTGTTTCTCCCTGGTCTGGCATCCCCGTGTGTGTATGCTAAGTCACTTCAGTCATGTCTGACTCTTTACAACCTCAGGGACTGTAGCCTACCAGGCTCCTCTGTCCATGGGATTCTTCAGACAAGAATACTGGAATGGGTTGTCGTGCTCTCCTCCAGGGCATCTTCCTGACCCAGGGATGAAACCGGTGTTTCTTATGTCTCCTGCATTGGCAGGCAGGTTCTTCACCACTAGCACCACCTGGGAGTCCCTGGCATCCCCTCCCTTCCCTAACAACTGCTTGAATCTTCCCATTGGAACTCAGGGGAAGTCATGAAGGCTAAATGAAGGTTGTTTCCTATAATCAAAGAAATAGGGTCCCAGAAAGGCCTTGTGCACAGAAGCCCCTTTGGGCCCTGCACGACATCACTTTCCACAAAACACTAGGACACAATTCAACCAAGTTCTTTGTCAATTTATAACAAGAATCACCCTTATTTAGTTTCCAATAACATGTCCTACCTTTCCATCTGGGACCTCACCAGAATCACCTTTAACATTCATAGCTCTACCAATGGTCTCTTCAT